CTGACTTGCAGAATCAGAAGGAGTTTGCACACTCTTTCCAACCCTTTAGTACTTCCAGATCATTCCTTTATTACCTCTTAAGTTGATGTAATTTACTTATTTCCAATACTTTTGGGTGTTACCTTTCAACCTCCAGGTCAGTTTCCTAATGGACAGACTCATCTTCCTTATCCATAAGACCAGTCATGTTACACTTCTTTTCAAAATCCTTCAATAGCTCCCTGTTGTCTAATGAATAAAGTTCATACTCTTTTGCTGGACATTAAGGACCTCCACATTCTGGCACTGAATAAATCTTGTAGTATTGCACCCCGCCCCCCAATAATCTAAACTGGACTATTCACCCCACCCACAAAACACAGCTTGCGTGTTTTCCACATCTGTGTCTTTGCTCATTTTCCCCCCCATGACTGTAAAGACCTCTTCTCCTTCCACTTAAAGTTGGAATTTCTGTCCAATTTTAGAGTTCAAACTCAAGGACTATCTCCCCTGATCACCAGTGAATGTATCCCACTTAGAGCTATACATCCTCTTATGAGCTTGTGTGTTATGTGGAATTACATTTATTCATGTGCCAGCTTCCCCCATTAGGCTATGATTTCGAGCAGAGAGGAGCCATATCTTATATAAACATTGCACTTCATTTAGAGTCACCTGCACCCAATATGGATTGAATGAATGTTTGTCATTCCAATGTTTGAATTGGAATATTTTTCTAAGTCTATGATTTCACGGGGTTTGGTGTTCCCCTCATTATGAAGATTGCAACCTTTTAGTAGACTGTCTTCTGTTAAATTGCTAGGGCCAAAACCAATTAATTATCTGGTAGCCAACCTTTAGCGGCTGAGGCACTCTGCACACTGTCACTGGGCCTGTACTCAAAGCCGAAAGCTTTTCCAGCACTTGCATTTTGTTGGCATAATCTTAGAAAACCCAGGGCTACCTCTTTGTCACAAGAAAGTGTTAGGACAGAACTTCAGTGGAGAGCTGCATTTAAAAAAATTTTGCCTTTATCATTGATATCACCTCTTTATGTGGGCTTCATTCCACTTTAACCTATGATGCCTTTAGCAGAACCTTGCCTCATCCTACCAGTGAGAGGAGATTGACAAAATGAAAATGATTAATGGCTGAAAAATTGAAGTACATCTATGACAGGCAATTTTTCTGCCTCCTCAATGACAGGTTCAGTCTCTATATTCACAGCATGGATCCTCCAACTCCAAACCCAGAGTTCTTTCTATGGTACCATCCAAGGACAATAGGAAAAAAAAATCTAATTAAAATTCCTAGTCAAATGCTTGCTCAGCTCTGTTCTTGGCAAAATAAGCAAACATCTAATCTTATACCTCCCACGTACATGGTATCTCATCTCACAATTCATTGTGCAGCAGTCTACACAGCTAGTCTTAAAGGTCAAAGACTGTCTTGGGAAGAGATAGAAGTTGTCATGAGCTTAATCTATGGGCAGACTTATTGGTCCCCATGTCTGGCCAAGAAATGATCAGTTAACCTTCATTTGGAATGATGGATGGCATGTTGTTATTTCCATATTCTATCTTGTTACAAATGGTGGTTTCCATAACCTCATATCACAAGATTATAGCTGAAAGGGATTTCAAAAGTCTTCTAGTCTAACCCCCCTACATGCACCAATTTACAGATGAGGAAATTGAGGCCCAGAAAGGGTTGATAGTCAATTTGTCCAAGGTTATACAGAGGTTATACAAGGTTGCAGAGCCAGGATTGAACATAGGTCCTGACTCCGTCAACTATATTTTCTCTGCCCTCCCACCCACTTCCTTCCCTCTCTCACATATACATATGTATATATGTACATACACAAACTAGGTATATATGTATATGTGTGTGTATACCCCCATACTTGATGGCACTGGTAATGGCAGCACTCCTTAGAGGACAAGAAGCAGAATATCAAGGCCAACAACGTGAAATGTTCAAACTCAGTGGGAGTGAGCCGTGAGAGTTGGTTCCCACTTGATCCTATCTATCCTTCAATAAATACCTCTAACCTTAAATCTATAAGTATTCCTCATGTTTTAATTTCCCAGATCTTGCCATTCAAAACTAAACAATGATTGGCTGCTCCCTGAAGCTAAAACGTAATGCGATTGAACATTTACTGAGCACCTACTATGTGCAGAGCACTGTGCTAGGTTATTTGTGGGATACAAAGAAAGAGACCTGGTTCCCGCCCGTAGGAAGCTTAAATTATATTTAAGATACCCACAAATGCATAACTTTTCTTTTCAGCAATTAGCAGTGTAAGGCAAGATAAACATTGGTGACGCTTTTGTTTCTGTTTCTGTTCTTTTGTATAGCTGAACTGGAATTTCTTCTGTCCGTGGTACTGAGAGCAAACTGAGACCACTTGTCTGATTTCTATAACTTCTGAACCATTCAGCCTATTTTTCAGAAAATCAGGATAAGCCCAAATAAATGCTAGTTGTCTGATTGAAAATTATCTCAGTGACCCATCCAATTCTTTCAAACTAAGCTACTGATGAATGGCTGATCTTTATCAATGGAGACAGTTTATACATTAAGAAGATTCCAATATTGACGAAATCAGAGGTCTAGCCCACTTCCCCCACCCCCAAAGCATTTATCACAGTTTATATATTCATACTTTTTTAAAAAATTGACAATTAATTCCTGGGTGCCTTAAAAATTTTGTCTCTAGCATGGATTTTTTTCTGTATGTATTTGGTCAAGTTTACTGCCTCTTCCATTAAGAGTCACTGACACATCTTCCTAGAGTGTATTGGGTGAATGAGGTTTAAAGTCTAAATGAGACAGTTCCATTCTCATCACTGATATGAATAGAGTGATTTTAAAAGACTGGCAGATCTGTTGCATTTCACATTTCTTTGTTACTTCCTTTTGGTTTCATCTTCATATACCCTTGAAACCAACTGACTAAGCTAGATGTGATGCCAAGTACCTTGCAAGTTTGTTTTCCTTTCAAATGATTTTTATTGTTTTATACAGTGACATTGCTCATAATCTTCCATCTTTCTCCTCCATAATGTTTTGTTAATATGCTTGTGCTCTATGTTGCCTTGGATGCCACATTTTTACACCTGCCAACTAAGACGGTTTACCCTGTCAGCCTCTTCAAAATTGCAACTATTTTGCCTCAGGAAACTCCTCTAAGAAATGGTAATAGTCAGCATCTTTTTCATTCTTTTAATTTCTCATTTTTTCCCCAGACTTGACAGCAAATCATGTTGGATGTCCTATGAAAACATTCAGTGCTCTCATTCTATATTTTTTTCTTCTAATTTGGTACAAAGATTTTGAAGGTGGGAGGACAGAAAGGATTTTAAACAGGACCAAGGTCAGGGTGGGGTAGGCATTTCAGTGAAAGCTTCAGGGAGAAGGGACTGAAAGAAGAGGAATTTGGTATTCTAGGCCCATTCTAGTCTTTTCCTTCTCCATCTAGTATTCTCCATTTCACCTTCCTCTTTTAGTTACTGTTTTATTTTCCCTGCTTCCCTTGTTTTTTCCTCTGTTTTCTTCCCCCATCTGCTTCATTCTCTTTACCTTCATAACTCTATACCAATGGCATTGATATGTAACTTAAATAGGTATATATTTTTCTTAGTCCTTAAATTTTAAAGGAGATGAATTGAACACTTTAGATTTAGCTCCACTTTCTTTTTTCAAATGAACTGAAGAGTTATATCTATTATAACTATTTTCTTTTACTTATTTGTAGCTCTCAATTGCTTATTTTAAAAAAAAAAAATTTGGACTAGTGACCAATAAAAATCGAGACAGAAACTCAGCTCAGTGTCAGTAGGGTACATTATTATGATACAATACTGAGTTGTATTATGCTATAGTTACACTAGATGGCAGTAACGGTTAACAATAGGAGCCATAAAGGTTACACTGTACCTCTAATGTATTGAGATATTTGTAAAGTACTTTGCAAACTTTACAATGCTATGCAAATGCTAGCTAATATTGTATTCCACTACCAAATAACACTTATGAATGATTTAGTAGAGTATAATTAAGGTTCAATGCAGGGTAGAGCATAATGTTTAGCAACCCAAACTACAGTGCCAATCTGGCAAAATATGTAAATTTTCCACGTTGGAGTTCTCTGCCCCCTGCTAGGTCTGACAGAAGCAAGAGTCAGTCTTCTCCCCTCTACCCCCTAAAGCAATCTGGGTTAAGTGACTTGCCCAGGGTCACACGGCTAGCGAGTATCATGTGTTTGAGGCCAAATTTGAACTCAGGTCCTCCCAACTCCAGAGCCGGCGCTCTATCCACTGCGCCTAGCTGCCCCAGGTCAGTGGAGTTCCCAAATTCTAAGAAGTGAGAATGTCTGGTAGTCAAATTTGGGGAAGTAGTAAACATTTGTTACTGATCTTTAATGGGATTCAGTGGTTGGAAAACACTATTCTAGAGAAATAATTAGTCCTTTACCTTCTCTAGCACTTTAAGATGGGTAGCACATTCTTCACAACCTGCCTGGTCTGGTATGTCCCTGGTACGTCATAGGGAAAGAGAGGTTTCCCAGGTTCATACTCAGGTATATTTTAACTCTGCCACTTACTATCTGTATATCATTCAATTTTTTTGGTATTCAGTTTCCTTATCTGTAAATGAGCAGATTGGAGCTTTAAGTTCCCTTCCAGCTTTAAAATCTCATGACCCAGTCATTGCCCGTTAGTGGTTAGATAGGTGACACTTTATTTAAGAAAAAAAAAAGACCCATAGTTGTTCACGTACACATAGGCACAAGGGTGGCTAATGATAGAGTACTAGACCCAGAATCACAAGAAGACCTGAGGTCAAATCCAGTCTCAGACTCTAGCTTTATGACTCTGGGCAGGTCACTTTGCTTCTTTCTGCCTTGGTTTCCTCATCTGTAAAATGGGAAATGTAAAACAGCCACCAATCTCCAGGATTGCTGTAGGGATAAGATGAGATAATATTTGTAAATTCCTTTTTAAACCTTAAAGAGCTACATAAATGCCAGCTATTTTTATTACATAAAATTTAAGCAAAAACACAGTGGAATTGTCTTTTAAAAAACAAGAATATTTCCTACTATATAAAAGTATTATGTTAAACTTCCAATAAATCCTCTAAGAGACAATGACCATTAGAATCTTAAATAAATGCCTTTAAAATGAGAAATTCTTCTAATTTTTCATATAGTTTCTCATTTTCCATAAAAGGTATGACACCTAGTTATTGCTTAATGAGTTGCTGCAAGAAAAAAAGAACTGACCTGGGTTTCTGAGACCCTGGGTTCTAATCAATTAATCAATAAACATTTATTAAGAGCCTACTATATGCCTGGTACTATGCTAAGTGCTGGGGATACCAAAAAAGGCTAAAAATAGCTTTTCAAGGAGCTTACAATCTATTGGGGGAATTATAATTTAGTGTTCATCCTTTCACCCACTGTAGGATTTTCTCTACAACATTCTTGACAGCTGGTGCTTAAATATTTCCACTGGCAAGAAGCTCACTAGTTTTCAAGAAAGGATAATTCTCTTAAGATCATAGAATAATAGTTTTAAAGCTCCAGGGGATCTCAGAGATCTTCTAGTCTAACTCCCTTATTTTACATATGAATCAATTGAGGCTTAGAGAAATTAAATGACTTGCCCAGGGTCATAGGGGTAGTTAAGTTATAAGAGCAGGAATTCAGACTCAGGGTCTGTCACTCCAAGTTGAGTAAACTTTCCACTGAATCACAGATATCGAGAGGAAATCTGCCTAATAAACTTATATTTATTGGTCCTAGTTCTTCCCTCTGGAGCTACATAAAATAAGTCTATTCCATTTATCTACATCATAGGTCTTCAAATATTTGAAGACATCTGTCATTTCTTCCCTTGTTCTTCTTTACTCCAGCCTAAACATCTCCACGATGTTTGCAGACCTCTCACCATCCTCATTACAGTGTTCAGGATACCTGCTTCTTTGCAAATATCTTCTACAAAACTGGCACGCCAAACTGGATGCAAGATTCTAGCTTTGGTGTGGAAACTACTTGTGAATTAATGCAACCTAAAATTGCATTATCTTTTTTTTTTTTTAAATAGCTGGATCACACTGTTGGCTCCTAATGAGCTTACAAACAACTAAACCTCTAAGTCTTATTCATACAAACTCCTATTAAGCCAATTCTCTCACAGTCTGTACTTATGTAATTGATTTAAAAACTTTTTTTTAAAGGAATATGTCTTCTAGCTTGCCCAGGCTTGAAGTTCAGGGCTTACTCCTGGGCCTTATCCCATTCTGATCAGCTTTGGAGCTTTGATCTGCTTTGTTTCTGACTGGGGCTGATTGCCCCTCCTCAGACAACCTGGTGGCCCCCACTTCCAGAGGCTCACCATACTAATGCTGAAATTAATGCAGACAGCAAGCAAATGCCATAAATCAAGGCTTGATTTATTTTTTTGTTGATTGCTCACACTTAAAAAGTTGATGTAGAAATGTGAATAAGGCAGATTAAACTTTAAAGTGTGTCACCCCACCCCAGCCTATTGTTAAACATTTACCAGCATATCCCTGTATAAAAGGCGTCATCAAAAACAGGTATTAATGGAAAATTATGTAGGCCAGTTGTGTAATGAGGGTAAAGGATAACAGAGGGCTCAGTGCTATACTGGTGTCCATGAGCTATTAAAAAGAAAAAAAGAAGTTGTTATTCAGTTGTGTCTGACTCTTCGTGATCCCATTACGTGTTTGGTAGAGCCTGAAAGACAGTTTTGACCATGTCACTCCTCTGCTCAATCAGCTTCAACGATTTCTTAAAACCTCTAGGATCAGGCACAAATTCCACTGTTGGGCATTTAAAGTCCTTCAAACCTTGATTCCAAAATACCTTTCCAGGTTTATTTTACATGACTCCCCTTCATACATTCAGAGGTACACTCAAATTGGCTTCCTTCTCGTTTCTCATATGTGACATTCCATCACCTATTTGAAGCTCTATGTAGCCTGTTCCCTATACGTGGGATGTATGTACCCCCCTTAGACTACTGCTTGTACCCTGCTATATCCTTGTAAATGAAGAATTGAGACAATTATCCAAATAACTCAAAAGAAAAAAACCAAGCATGTTGTTCGATTCTTTGGATAATTCAAGTAAAACTTTTTTTTTAAAATAACAGTAATCTGAATAATTGTCTCAATTTGCCACAATTCATCAATCAATCAACAGGCAGTTGTTAAGCACTTACTGTGTAATAGGCACTGTGCAGAAACATTAGGTATACAAAGACAAGAATGAAACAATCCCTATTCTTAAGGAGTTTATACTCTATTGGGTGGGGATGGGGGAGGGGTAACATGTTCATATATAAGTCAATAAAAGATATTTTCAAATAAATAAAAGTATAAAATTAGATAGTGTGCAGCACTTAATTTATCAAAGCATTCAGATCTGTGATGTAAAGTAAAAATTTTTTTCACAATAATCCTACCAGATTTGTGCAACATCGTAAAGCAAATTGGAGAATTAAGCCCAGGTCTCCCAGGTGTCTGTCTAACCCACAGAACTCCATATATTACATGAAAGGCAGTGTCTGGCAAATTTCATAAATATCACTTCATAAATTTTTATTGACCCAATAACTCTCTTGGTTTTTAAAAAATATTGCATTGACCAAATGTTATTAATTTAAACTTTTTGCCTTGGAATGCAATCATATTTATCAAAAATAAAGATAAAATGGTGGTGAGTGGGGGAGAAGTGAGAGGCACAGAGCCGCAAAAAAAGAAAGAAAAAAGGGACATGGAAACTTTTTTTAATGTATAGAAGAGAACAGAAGCAATCAGACAAACAGAACAGCTTTGAAAATTCCATGTTGAATTTATCACTTTCTTAAAAAGAAAATTGAGATGTATATAATAGAGATTTTTGGTGTTGTGCGCAGTTCTCTATCTTTTCTACTACATGTATGGAAATGCTGGTTTTGTCTGGTGCTCATTAAGTTCAGAATAAAAATGTTGGAAAAAAAAAGAAGATAAATAGGCAATCTGTTAATGACTTACCTTCTTAGCACCAGGCCAGTTCTTTGAAGAGGGGTAAATACTATAAATTTCAAAGATTTCTTCAATGGGGAGACTGTTCTGTTAAACAAACATTCATTATGTTAGGTTTTTCTGCATCTTAAAAAATAGATATCACGGGGGCAGCTAGGTGGTGCAGTGGATAGAGCACTGGCCCTGAAGTCAGGAGGCCCTGAGTTCAAATCCCACCTCAGACCAAACATTTGACATGTACTAGCTGTGTGACCTTGGGCAAGTCACTTAACCCCGATTGCCTCACTAAAAAAAAAAATTAGATATCATGTCCCCAATTAATATCAGGAGTCTTCTATGTTTCTTAATCATAAGGTTTACAATATTAATTATTTCACAATGAGTCTCCAACTATGACATATTTTTCACATTTTTACCTTTCAGATAAATGTTGCTAAAATGGGTCTATTAATAACACTTAAAGGGGTTTCTTAAATTATAGGAAAACAGAATTTAGAATCACTGAATCATAAGATTAAATTAGTAAAAGATCTTGGAGATAATCCAATCCAACTCCACCAAGTTTCCCCTTCCCCTCAAACTATTCTCCCCCTCCTTCCCCCCTCCCCCCAACCCATCCCCACTCCCCAATTGTCTAAGATGAAACTGAGGCCAGAGAGGTTGGGTGATTTTCAAAAGATTTCTCAGCTACAACAGAACCTGATTTTGAAGCCTGTGTCCCTCAATACAATGCTCTTTCTATTACACCAAATTCTTTAACTCTGCTTTTAAAAATACTGTATGTATATGTAAGTCAGAAACATCCAACAAACAAGAAGGGTAAACACTCCTTAATAAAAATTTAATTTGCCCCCTTACCATTAGGATCCCAGCATAAAATGATAAAATCATAGCTTCTCGTTCAAGACGATTAGGAAATACATGCCTGCTATGGAATGGTACCTTCCTAGGAAGGAAAACATATAAGTAAATTTGGCTATATGGCCCCAGATTGAAGATGATGACCTATATAGTATTTATATGCTGCTTAATTTGCATATCAAGATAATGTGACTCCTTTGACCCATTATCAGTAAGTAGGTTATGTACTAAACATTACTCTCCCCACAACCCCCAGTACCTATGATAGATTTACAGTTATTTATTCTAGGTTTTCCACTCTGTCTTCACTGTGACTAATAGTATACATTTGCAGAATGGCCCACTGGAATAGAGTTGCGCAGTCAGAGACCATGAAAGAGAATGAAACTAATTGGCTACAGGAACTAAGCCTATGACCATAATTTTATTAGGGTGATTACTCTAACCCAATGGTTGCCAAAGTGGGGGCCTTCTGATAGCATATGGGATTGTGACCTGACCTTAAAAGATGTGGGATTAACCAACCAATCACAGGGTAGGAAGATTGCCTTCCCTACAAGAGTCAATTCTTGGTCTTACCTCCAACACAAACACACTCACTCTTACCTCCTAAAATGACACCTTCACTCCACTGTTCAAGCTTCACCCTCCCTACACTGGGGTGTCAGCTCCTCTGGGCAGTTTTAACCCAATGACTACCTGGAACTCACAGCAGCAGCTGAGCAGAGCCATTGGGAAAATTATCTTCTCCCTTCACTCCCAACCTCGACCAGTGTCCCAGACATACCCATCTTCTACCCTCAGATCACCTTATGGCTGTAGCAGGCTCTGCTTGAGCAAGCCCTGTGACCTGGAGGTGATAACTAATAAGACCTCTCCATTTTTTCCCCTTTTGGGTGGGAAAAAGTGAGTAGCACAGGAAGAGAAGGCATCAATCATAGGATCATAAATCATAGAGCTGGGAGGGACCTCACAGACCGTCTGGTACAACTCCATCATTTTACAGAATAGAAAATGGAATTCCAGGGAAGATCAAATGAGATACCAAATGGGAAGTGCTTTGCAAACCTTAAAGCCATTAGTATTGCTATTATTATTATTACTGTGCAGATAATAGTTGGATTATGATCTGCATTCCAGATCTTGTCACATTATCTTTGCCCCCAAATCTCGCCTTCTTTTAAACTTTCCGATTACTGTCAAGAACATCACTGTCCTTCCAAGTCACCCAAATTCACAACTTTGGGGGTCATACTTGAGCCCTCACATACAATCGGTTGTCAAATCTGGTCATGTCTCCTCCATAACATTATCTATCCTCTTTTCTCTACTCACACAACTACCACTCTAGTTCAGGCTCTCCTCTCAACTGAACTGCTTCAGTAACCCCTTAATTGGTCTCTCTATGCCAGGTTTCTCTCTGTGCCAATCCATCCTCCATGCAGATGATTTTCTGAAAGCGTAGGTCTGATCATGTAACTACTCTATCCAATAAACTCTGATGGTATCCTACTGACTAGGATCAAATATCTCATCATTTTAAAATTTCTATGTTTTAAAATTTTCATTTAAACAATTTTAAACATCAACTTTTTGTGTAACTTTTGTGATATATATATGCACACATAATTGTTTACACAATAGTACATTACATAATTTTAAAATAAACAAATATTCATGAATTGGGGGTGGATACTTAAATTTTTATTGATGAGGTACACAATCAAAAATGTTTGGAGGTCACTGCTCTAAACAACTGAATCACTTCAGATTGATAGATTAAGACACTAATAACTCTCAAAAAGAACTTTCATGAGTCAAACTGATAGACATAGCCTGGTATACATATTTGTTTAATTCCCTAGTGTCTTTTATTAATAGTCCTTAGGAAACCAATGCTATCACTGTAAAAAAAAAGACTTAGCCATTAAAAATCAGGGACATTTGAACAGCAAATCACAAGAGATCTTCCAAGTCTCATCATAGTTTTGAGGTAGGGTATTCTAACCACAGTGATTTGATTTGATTTTTTTCAGAGGAAAATCAATTACTGGTGATGTTTGGGACATGAATATACACATTTCCCAAGTCAATGGCAATGTGAGTTCCTTCTAATTTTGTAGGACTTAGAGCTGGAAGTGACATTAGAGCTTATCTAGCCCTAACTCCATCATAGCCTCTTACAGACAAGGATACTTTCTTGACCCAGAAAAGTTTAAGAGATTTGCTGGAGTTCACACGGTAAATATGTGGGCTAGGACCCAAACTCAAGCCTTCTGATTGTCAGCTAGGATTCTTTCCACTCCAATCAACTGCTTCTCAAGCATAGTATCATAGAATGGTAAGGCTAAGACCCTTAAGATCCACAACAGCAAAGTCATTTTCAAGTTCAGCAGTTCTCTTGAACTATTAAAGCAAAGAGAGTCTCAAGACACTCACACTTTCTCCCAATCCAAAGGTATTTGGTCTTCTTTGTAACCGAGCCACTGTAACGCGACACTGATGGCCAAATCATAATGAGCCTGAAAGCAAAGATATTTTGCATGAAAAGAAAATAACCACAGCAGGCAGAGACCGGTTGCACCACCAACTTAGCAAACTGTTGAGATACCAACATTTGTCACGTATTAGATATAAGGCAACGGATAACCAAGTTTCTTACATATCTTACCAGCAACTTATGTGGCCCTTACAGGATCCTATATGTTATTGGACTGACATCTGGAAAGGAACTTGGAGCCCATTGCCTTCATCTTACAGATGAGGAAATGGAGTTTAAGTGACATGGATAGTGTCAGCAGGTTCCCTGATCAAAACCAGTGCTTTCCCCTACTGTACTGCTGTGCTTTCTCATTTGTTAAAGCAATCACTTGAGACTTATTACATTTATAAGAGACTTGAATGAAACCAAATGATGGAAAATAAACCTAGAATGAACCGACCTAAGTTGTTGAACAGAAGCAAAACTGAATAGTTTTTACTGAACTGTGAACCAAATTAAATTGTCAGGTTGTCTCCCACCAAAGTTTTTCAGTAATTGAACATATCTTTTCAAAAGTATTTAAATAGAACAAAATTATAACATAAAAAGATCTCTCAAATGAACCCTGAAAAACCTGATCTTTTATTTAGTTCCTGTTCTGAATATATCTTAGAATTGACTAATAGGTAATATTAATAAAAATTTAAAAATTAATAAAAGAGTTGCCAAATTACTGTTTTATTAATTCTAATAATGATTTAATAAATTTATAGAATGTTAGACCTGTAAAAGACCTTGAAGATCACCTGGTCAGCCCCACTTGTTTTTAAGGACAAGAAAACTCAAAATCAAATAGGTCAATTTATTTACCCAAGGCTACATGGGTAGCTAGGGGAAAAGCTAGGACTAGAACTCAGGACCTCTGATCCAATCCAGGGCACTTTGTACTGTATTACTTCTTTCAGTCTTCTCCTCCCAGCAGGGCTTAGTAACTACTACCCAAACATTGATTCACTAATGGATGCTCTAAGTTTGTCCAGCAACTCAATAAGAGCTCCATAGCATTCCTGAGTGAGTTCTTCTCCAAAAGGTTAAAAAAAAAAAAAACCCAAACCTAGCCACAGCATACATTTAAAAACCTATTATTTTATTTTAGTATGGAAAAATGTCATCCTTTAAAAACAAACCTCTATCCATCATTTGAGAACTTAGAAGCCACAACGAGAAAAAAAAGGTGCATATCGTAAAATTTACAAAATACTTTGAAATTTGCAAAGTGGACCAGGTATCGTAATATCTTCAAATGTTCTCAACACTAATATATTCTTAGCTCATTATTCCTTACTGCTTCTTTACATTTTTGGATCATGGATTTTGATTTAAAATGGCCAAAATAAGCATGTTCTCCTCAAATTGTCTCAAAGGAAGAATTATCTATAGAAATAACATTGTTGCTTACTTAGAAATCCGTGCTTCTGGGGAAGCTGAGACTCGTGGATCTCTTGGGTTAGGAAATTCTGAGTTAAGAGTGAAGCCAGTCAGGTATCCACACCATGTCTGGCAGTAATATGGTGAGCCCCAAGGAGTGGAGGACCACCAGGCTTCCAAATGAAGGGTGAATCAGCACAGACTGGGGTGGGGGAGGGGGAGAAGGAAAGGTTAAAGCTTCCAAGCTGATCAATGTTAGGATTGGACCAGTGAGTGGCCACATCACTTCCAGCCTGGGTGAGATAATGAGATACAGTTTCAAAACACAAGATAAAGTTTGCTTTGTTTTTTGTTTGGGTTTTTTTTTTTTTGGCTTGGTAATGGGGTTAAGCAACTTGCCTAGGGTCACACAGCTAGTAAGTGTTATGTGTCTGAGGTTGGATTTGAACTCAGGTCCTCCTGAACCCAGGGCCGTTGCTCAATCCACTGAGCCACCTAGCTGCCCCCCAAGATAAAGTTTGCAAAGTATTTTTATACATTACTTTGTTCAGTTCACAACGGTCCTATGTAGCAGATGCTACAAGTGTACTTTTACCATTTGAGAGCTGGGAAAACTAAGGCTTAATGAGACAAAGTGATTTATCCATAGTTACTCAACAGTGTAAGACTTGGGATTTGAATTCATGTCTTCCTGACTCCATTTCCAGCATTTATGTTGCCCTTTGATAAACAACGTACCGCCCTACATTCCTTTGTCATTTGACATAGAGATTATTTTATCATCTATATATGAACTCTCAATGTATTTATGGTTTGGTTTCTTAAAAACCATGCCTGTTATATGAGCTAAGGCAAAAATCAAGTAAGGGAACACACATTTATTAAGCCCCTACTTTGTGCCAGTCACAGTGCTAAATATTTTACAAATATTATCTTATTTGATAATGAGCCATTGTTCTGTCTATAAGAAAATTGATATTCCTAACCCTGAAAAGGTCAACTGATTTTACAGAGCCCTCTCCAACAAAAAGCCTTAACACTCACTTGAATTTCTTATTCTTCTGTGTGCACATTAAACCGCCAAAAGTTTAGTGAATATGAGGGGAAAAAATGTCAGGTGGGGGGGACTGCATTCTTGATAAATTTTGGTCACAGCATAGATTTTAAAATGTCGCTTCCCAGTTTATAGACAGCTCCACTTTGCTCAAGGCAGCTAGATGATACAGTGTACAGATTGCCTGGCTTGGAGTCAGGGAGATGCATCTTCCTGAGTTCCAATGCAGCCTCAGACACTTAGTACCTGGACAAGTCACATATCCTCATTTGCCTCAGTTTCCTTATCTGTAAAATGAGCTGGAGAAGGAAATGGCAAACCAGTCTAGTATCTGCCCAAGAAAACCCCAAATGGGTCATGAAGAGTCAGACACAACTGAAAAACAACTGAACAACAACCACTTTACTCAGAGTCCTTTGACTTCCATCTCTAACACTCAGTAATGACAGCCTCTAATCCAAAGTCCAAACTTTGTTAATATCTCAACATCCTTTATTTTCTGTTTGTTTTTATTTTTGCATGTAAAGCCATTCAAAAAAGTGAACACTTGACTCCTCTCTCGAGCTCCAGGAAAAGTTTGAAACTCCCCATTTTTCAAATCTGACATTTCCTCCGCTACACAATGAAGAGTCGACTATATTTAAGAATAAACATGATCAGTATTTTTTTCATTGTTTTAAAAAAAAAATGAGAGAAAAAGTATGACAGTAGGAAATGCAATGGTTTTAGAGTCAAAAGACCCGAGTTCAAATCCCAGTTCTGTCACTTACTACCTGTGTGACCTTGGACAAGTCACTTTACCTTTCTAGGCCTCAGTTTCTTCATGTCTAAAATGAGGAGTTTGGACTTGATGACCTATAATAAGGCCCTAAATTAGCTCTAAATTTGTGATCCTATTATCTACTAATATAGTGAAAAGCATGACTATAAATGAATCCCCAAAACACTTGACCCTGATCACACAATGCTTATCCTTTCTCTGGCACTAACTCCATGCCAACTAGTCAGCAGTGATAACAGACTGTGGCATAGTGGATAGGCCATTGCATTAAGAGTCAGGAGGACTGGAGTTCGAATTTGGCTTTAGACACTCTTGGGCAGGTGAATTCACCTCTCTCAGAGGTTTTTTCATCTGGAAAAGGGAATAGTAGAGCACTTATCTTACAGGATTATTGGCGGAATCAACTGAGATACTATATATAAAATGTTTTTGGCATTTGCTACTTATTACTAATTATATATTACTATTATATATAATATATATTACATATTACATGTAATAAATATATTTTGTATATAATAAATATAATTTTATATATCATATATAATTATATATAATATATTATATTTTATATGGAATATATAATTGTTTATGTAATATGTAATTTTATATATAATAAATATAATTACTATTATTTTATCATTTTGTTTTCCATCTTCCTTCTGCACAGAGTGGATCACAGTGGACTAAAATGAAGGCTGGGCCTGTGATGGGAAAGGAGAAGTTTGCTTGGCTGATTAACTAACATTTATGTAATGCTTTATGATGTGCAAAGCACTTTACAAATATTATCTTACTTTATCCTCATAACATAGGAGATAGGTACCATTATTATCTCTATTTTATAGATAAGGAAACTGAGGTAGATAAGTAATTTGCCCACTCAGGGTCACACAGCTAGTGTCGGAGGTCACATTTGAACTCAGGTCTTCCCGATTCCAGGCCCAACACTCTATCTACTGAGCCACCTCATTGCCTCCCACACAAACACGTTACCTTACTTGCCCAGGGTTACACAGCAAGTAAGTGTCTAAGGTCACATTTGAACCCAGGTCTTCCTAACTCCAACCCCAGCGCTTTATCCACTGAGCCACCCACTTGCTTCCTAGGCAAACAGATGTTAAGTGACTTGCCTAGGGTCACACAGCTAGTTAAGTGTCTGTGTCCGAGGCCAGATGTGAACTCAGGTCTTCCTGATTCTAGGCCCAATGCTCTTAGGATTGAGATCTCTATCGTATCTCTAATGATCTCATCCACCATAGCCCATTAATAAACACATGAATAACACAAATAGGATCAACATAAACGTTTCATTCTTTACCATATCATCTAAATAGGAGAGTTGCCTTCTTCCTTTTGGGTCAAATTCGTTTTCCCGAAGTCGGATGCCCACATAGTCACACCTTCAAAAGCAAAAGAGCATTGTTGAGGCATTGCACACGCCTAGGTCACCTTTCCCCATCCTGCTTTCATCCTCCCAGAATTAAGAGGGCTTAAGAAATCACAAATTCATTTAAATTTTGAATTAATCCTCGATTTACATAGGATTAAAGATTTAGGGCTGGAAGGAGTCTTTGAGTCCATCCTGTCCAACCCCTTCCTTTCACAGAAGCTCAGAGTTGATGTGGCTTGCCCAAGGTCACACAGCTAATAAGTGGCAGATCAAGGTTTTGAACCCAGGTCTTCTGACTCCAAATCTAGCCTATTTTCTATTGCACCACAGATCTAAAGGACTGAATTTTGGTACACTGAAGCATGTTGTCAATTATCCCAAGGAATATTGTGAAATTCTCTGAACCTTCTAAAAATGGCTTCGGTTAAAGTCTCAAGTAAAATCTCGATATATTTTACCGGAAGCTTTCCTAATCCGTCCTAATTCTAGCGTCTTTCCTCTGTTAATCATTTCCCATTGATCCTGCATATAGCTTGTTTGTATATATTTGTTTGCATGCTGTCTCCCCTTTAGATTGTGAACTCTTTGAGGGCAGAGACTGTCCTTTGCTTCTTTTCGAATCCCTAGCATTTAGCAGAGTGCTTGGTACATAGTAGGCACTTAACTAAACATTTATTGACTTATTGATTGAAATACGTGGCATAGAAGCAAATATTGGGGAAGTGTAGCAGGAGAGGAAGAAGAGGGAGGAGAAAGGCTCTTTGAATCAAATGAGCAACAATACCATTTTTATAACTCCAGTAAAGTTGAGCCTCACCCATCTAGAAAGAAATCACCTTCTCCCCCATTCAGGAAGACATTGAAAAATACGAAGAGCAGAATTGCTGAAACCTGAAATCCCACAATCCAACATTCATTCCACTGGCTTCTGGGGAGCAGGAACAAGTGAAGTCTAAGAATATTTACCTGTATCCTTATCAGATCTTTTCTGGAGACAGGCAGGGGAAAGATGATGAGAGCAAAAAGGTCCCCTGCTGGAGGGGGACCCTTCCAAGGGGGAGAGATGTTACAGAAATGAGTGGCTTGGGACAGAAGAAAGTAAATGAAAGGTTAGAGGCATAGAAAGAGGAAGCTAAGGGGCTCCAAAGAAAACATTTACCTACTTTTATAATTTTGCTTAGGGCTAGCCCTGATTATGACAATATAAATTGTGCCAAGAAAGTTAAGTCAAATAATTTTGTGGGCGTAGATTTATTATGAGCCCTGAAGGACTTTGATTTGGGTCATAAAATTTGAAGGCTCAAATAAATATTGCAGATTAAACTGTCTAGAACATTTTTTTCATGCTCCTGGGATCCAGGTTGTTTTAGTCTAAGTAAAATGGACATTGATCATAAAAACACACTTATTTGGTGTTTAGGTTCACAAAATATTTTCGCCAAAACAACCCTTTGAAGTAGACAGTATTATTATTATTTCCATCTTATAGACAGGGGAAATTGAGGTATAAAGAGATTAAATAAATGGCCTGGGGTTACCAGAATGTTAAATATTGAAGCTAGAATTTGAACCTAAGATTCCTAACTTCAAGCCCTGTACTCTCTCTACTGCACTATGATGGATTCTTTAGATGAAGTAGATAAAGTAGCTGACATAAATACTTACATTTTGCTTCTGATTTCCTGAGTGTTATTTATACATCCCCCACTCCTATTTCTATTGCTAGAGGCATAACTACTACCCAAATGGCCTCCACAATTCTTGGGAGTATAGTCATTTATTCAACAATCATTACCAGGACATAAAGGCAAAAAACAAAATTGTTTCTGCTCTCCAGGAGCTTAAGTTCTACTGGAATGACAGGAAGATCTGCTCAGAGTAGAGGGAAAGGGCATAGTTTACCTTAAGGTTCAGCTCTGGCACTACCTTCTATGTAGGTCCTTCCCTGATCCCGCCCCGCCCCCCTCCCAGCTACTTAAGGATTATTTTCACTTTTGTTTTTGTGTCCCCAGGACCTAGCATAGTATAGGTGTTTAATAAATGCTGATTGATTGACAGTGGGCTAGAAAAAAGACCCTCGGCAGCTTGCTACTGATATGCATCGTTTGTTCGTGAAATAATAATATTGGCTTCCCTACCCCTCAACCAATACCTCTGAGTCCCCCTTAACCCTTGGCCAGAAAATGAATCGGAGAAAAAATATCTGAAGAAACAAATTATTGGCAAGGGAAAACCTGATTTTATCCTAGTCATTTTGTTTCTGAATCTGGAAGGTAGAGACCATATGGAAAGAAAAAGATTAATTGATAAAATATAAACTTCTTGAGAAAAGGGACTATTTCTTTTTTTTCAGTTTGTCTCCTGTGTAACTTTGGCATGTGGGACACTTGAATAAATTCTAGTTGACCCATTGTTGTTTAGTCAATTGTTTTGACTTTAAGAAAATGAGTGATTAGAATTTAATTCTGGGCCTTTGGAGATAATCTTCAGAAATGTCTCCTTTGCCTTTGCTAATTTCAAACTCAAGAGATTCTCAGTAGAGAGAGACCCATGAGTCCCTGCAATGAACAAACGATTGTGTGGATTTTGTGTCTATGGAGGGAGACAGGCTAAAGAATGAGAAAGTTAAGATTCAGAGGGGATATCCAGGTGCTAACTGAACCTGTCTGATGGAAATGTGAAGCCTTCTGCCTCTGCAAGAAACATCAAGGCTTCTGACTCTTTCCACATGAAGAGATTCCTTCCCTTAAGTGCTCTATAAGTAATCAGACTGTTAGTCAAAAAACTCATCAAATACAGAATGAAAATATACATATTTTTCCAAATTCATACTTACAGAAGTTTTTTAATTTCTCTTTTCAGGAGTCTTCTTTCCATGAATGAAGATTTATTTGATGGATTAGATGGATATTGCTTCCACTGCACCTAAAGACTTTGGGTAGCAAATAGCAGAGAATTTGGAGTCAGAGTTGCTACCGGTCCCTGGATCAGTCATGGAATCCTGGCCTCTTGGATCTGGAAGGGATCTGAAAATATACAGAATCCATAAGGAGTGGGGTGGGGGGGTGGGGGCAGCGAGAGTATCTCCATCAAAATCAACCATCCAGGGATATTTTCAGGCACTGGTTATTCTATGAAGATGGCATCTTATATTTACACGGTCCTTTGTCCTCTATTAAAAAAAAAAAAACAACAAACCACTTTATATGTATTAGCTAATTTGACTGGCAACAACAAAATTAAGGCACAAAGGAGAGGTGCTAGGATCCCATTGTAACTAGGGGTTCACCATTACTTACAGAGATCTTGTCTTCTTCTCCCTCACCCCTTCTTTTTGGAGCATGCTCAGTCACGATTCTTGGTAACCATGGAAACCAAGGTATGCAAATATCTTCTGCCTCCTCAGGCTACGAATGACATCACTGGGTTGTGTCTATCTTTGATTGCTGAACTAGAACTTCTGGTACATGTTAAAGTCGCACCCTGCTTCTCTTCCTTTCCAGTTTCTAAATATGAAAAACTGTTTTGAATTTGTGCCAGGAAGAGTCAGATAGGGGGATGGTAGAAACTTTATTTCCCACCTGGTCCCATATAGCCATGGGAATGAGTCCTACCTAGGCCAGCCTTGTGCTTGGGATGGAACTGCCTTTTTTTTTCTTCTTGTTTTTCCTTCCTCGACTACATGACTAAGCAGGAACCCAGGGATGGATGAATCCAGGTGATTTTATGAGCTTCAGAAAGAAATAAAGTCTTCAGATGGCCCCCAGACAGTCAATTGTAGTTGCTATGGTAGCAAAGTGGGTTGGTGCCAAGGAAGAGTCAGCATTGGAGAGAGAAGGCCAAACATAAACATCATGCTTGAATCACACTTGGCAATTGATCAGACTGTCCTCAATAGAGATGGAATGTAAAATAGCTAATCAGGAGAACCGCCAGACTGTATTTTGTCTTGATGAGGCTTACTGCCAGATTCTCGGAAGATTGTAACCTCCCTATAAAGTGATTTTCTGAATCCTGTTTAAATCATTCCGTTAATGCACACTGTGATTCTCTTTTGCTTATCATTGCTTTCTATGTGGGAATAAAACAACCTATCTTACACCTAATGCTTTGGATACTCCTTTTACTCCTTTCTTTGGGGGGAAACCCTGGACTACAGATAAAAATGCAACTATCGCCAGAATAGCTGGGTATTCATTTTTCACTCATGTCTGACTCTTCCTGATCCCATTTGGGGTTTTCTTGGCAAACCACTCCAGTAACTTTGTCATTTCCTTCTCTAGTTCATTTTACATATCAGGAAACTGGGGTAAACAAGGTCAGGTGACTTGCCCAGGGTCACATAGCTAGTAAGTGTCTGAGGCAATATTTGAACTCAAGTCTTCCTAACTCCAGGCCCAGCGCTCTATCTACTTCACCACCTAGCTGCCCTCAGAATAGCTGTGGTGGAGGTAATAGAGATTAGGGAATAAATTCCTCTGTTGAGAAGGTTGGCTTCCCCAATACTTTGGGTAAAACATAATGGCAGATAAAGGATAAGAATTGATGTAGGTCCCTGTAAACTCAAACTAACAGTGCCTACAATCGCTGTGATAGACTTATTTACTTGTTTTCAGTTGGTCTCATGGTCTCCAAATGCTCAAACTGATCATTTTTGGAAAACCCCTAGTTATAACACTTTTCCAAGTCCCACGGAAATGTTTGGGTACTGCACCAAAAGATACATTGGCCTCTCTTCTGAATTTGTGCGAACTCTTCTCTGACCATTCACCATTCAGGAGGAGAACACTTTGACCCTTAAGAGAACAGCCATCTTCCAACACTAATCCATGGACCTCTTAGCTCCATACAGGATCTCTAGTGGATGCTTGAAAGAAAGTGTAGTAATGAAGCATCAAAGCAGGTCTCCTTGTCCTTGAGTACTCATCCCTACCTTTTGTCAGGTGCAGAGTTACGAGGATAAAAAACAATGCTGAAGGGATGTGCAACTAAACATTTTAAAATCATCACTCTGTAAAGAATAGGTGATAGAAATCTATCTGAACCAATGTTAAAAGTTTGGTCCCTAAAGTGTTATCTAATCATAAAGTTTAATTAAAAAGCTTGAGAGGGGGAATCTTTTGTTTCTACACCACTTTCATTTCCCAGTATATCTCTCTCCCTATCCCCACCCAAAGATGCAACCCTTACAACCAAAGCTGAAAAAGCAGTTCAGCAAAACTAACCAAGAAAGGGGGAGAAAGAAGAGAGAGGGAGAGAGAGAGAGACAAAGACAGAAAAAGACAGACAGAGATAGAGAGGCTGTGGTGATGTTGTGGCTTTCCCATAGCTATGACACATTAGAGATGAGACACAGACAGAAAGCAGAGAGACAGACAGACAGACACACACACACACAGATTTGAATCTCATCTCATTTTTTTTCCTAATAAGGACTAGCCCTAACACACACACACAAAAAAAAAAACCCACAATTATTTTTAAAACTACTTCTATAGCCTACCCATTTGACTATTTAGGACCTTCTGCTATTGCTTCGATTGGAACCTAGGAGTGTGGGAAGCCTGACTCTAGAGTAAATGAATTGCTTCTCTTAGGGTAAGAGAGATAATTTAAGTGATCATAGAAGCGTCAGTTTTCAGAGGATGCCATTAGCCAATATGCAGTTGAGAGTTTAACAAAAGTGTTATATAAGAGAAAAAGTATTAAACTAAGAGTCAGGAAGCCAGGACTGTAGTCCCAACTCTGCCTTTAACTAGCAGATGGCCCTATCTGGGGGCTGCTTTGCTTCTCTTCTTCAGTTTTCTCATCTGTAAATTGAGAGTGTTTGGACCAGACGGCCTCAAAGGTCCCTTTCGATTCTAACATTTTATGATTCTCTGATATTTAAAAGCTTCCAGCAGTAGAGGTGAGCCCTGTTTTCTGATGGGGAGATGGCAGAATCTGCCCAGAACTTGTCAGTTGTTTTAATGCCATCTTAACCTGGGACTTGGAGTGAGTTCATAGGTTCAAAAAAGTATAAGGTAAGAGACTTAGAGTTGGAAGGGACCATCTTATTCACAGGTAGGTAACCTGCAGCCTCAATGTCACATGTGGCCCTCAAGGTCCTGAAGTGACACCCTTTGACTGAATCCAAACTTCATAGAACAAATCACCATGCTCCCTTTCTAAAACAAGTTTGATCATTTGTAAAAAAACAAAACAAACAAACAACAAAAAACAACAAAAAAACTTACCTCTGTGATAATCACGAGAATTGGGATGACTAAGAGCCCTGAACAATCATGAAATGCTACACAAATTATCTATGATCTGCATATCTATTAATATCTTTGCACATGGGTAAGGGAGCTATTTTGATGTGGGTGAGGGAGACTGGGATATATATTCATTTGGTCTAGTGAATGAATTTGAAAGTCATTATTTTTCTTACTTTGAAAAAAAAAAAAGACAAGAAAGAGCTACTGGAAAAATCTCTTCATTTTAGCCCTTGGGTACATAATGGTAGTAGTAGTAGCAGTAGTGGTAGTGGTAGTGGTGGTGATAGTGGTAGGAGTAGGAGTAGTAAGAAGAAGCACTGTGGCATAAGTGGATAGAGAGCCAGACACCAGTAAGAAAAACCTAGGTTTGCTCTTTCTCCTCTGAATATATTTGCTACAAGACCCTGGGGTAAGACATTTGACCCCTTAGCACCCCAGGCAACTTTCTAAGGCTTTAAGTTGCAGAAAAGATGTTAATCTGCTTTAATAGACGAGTTTTTCCTCATCTGGAGTTTCCTCTACCATTGAAATCCCAAGCCTTCCCTACCGTCTCACCCCCAAATCAACAGCTCTCATTTCCCTAATGCTTTAAAGTTTGTAAAACAGTTGACTTCACATATATTTTCTTATTTCAGCTTCAAAGTAACACTATGAAGTAGCTACTACAATGATTGCCATTATTATCATCATTATTAATGTTTTACATATGGATTTGTAACCTGAGACTCAGAGAGCCTGAGGGACTTTGCCCATGGTCACACAGTTAGTAAGTATGGCACAGGCAAGATTTTAATCAGGGTCTTCCTGACTCCAATTCCAGCATTCTACCTCCATGCGCAAACCTAGCAACTTCAGTTCAAACATTCTGAGGTAATGATTCACATAGATCCTTGAATAACCTCTACACCTGGTATGACATGTATACTCTAGCACAATAAGGTTTCTATCCTTTGCCTGTTGCAGTCACGTTCCTAAGTCTTTAGTTTGACTGGGTAGTAGGAGGCCCCTAAAAGAAGATCTAGGGCAGGTTTCTAAATTCAGGGTCCATGAACTGTTTTCTTTAATAAATATTTTGAAAACGCTATCTCAATATTTATTAGTAATTTTTTTAGTAATCCAAAGTATCTTGTTTTATGCATCTGAAACATTTTCCCAGGAAGGATTCAAGTTGTTGTTGTTTAGTTGTATCTGAATCTTTGTGATCCCATTTGGGGTTTTGTTGGCAGAAATACTGGAGTGGTTTGCCATTTCCTTCTGCTGCTCATTTTACAGATGAGGCAAACAAGGTTAAGTGACTTGCCCAGAGTCACACTACCAATATGTGTCTGAGGCCAGATTTGAACTCATCAGGAAGATGAGTTTTTCTGACTTCAGGCTGAGTACTCTATCTACTGTACCACCTAACTGCCCAAGAATAATCTATAGGCTTCACCAGACTTCTTCAGAGGTCTGAAACAAAAAAAGTTCAAGGACCTCCTGGTCTAGAGAGAACATAGAAATCAGAATAAAGCCAAGTTTAATGGCAACATTTAGTCTGAGCAGCTTAGGGAAGGGCATGCCTTCCTATACATAGCAATCACAAGTAATTCTAGTGAGACTGCCCTAATTTCCAGAGTTCCCATGCCTTAGACACGTGTATCTTACATAAGCACTGCTGCATTTACATTTCAAGAAGCAATTCCTCTCTATTTCCATTTTCTTACCCAATATTTCCCTCGGTTGTTGAGATGCTTCTCTGTTTGTATCTGTTATCTGTAAAAGTCAAGGAAGGAAAGGGTCCTTGGGACTGTCCTCTCTTGGTTGAGAAAGAATCCTAACCCCCTGTGAGGTATTTCCCCCCTTCATCTCCTAAGAGCCAGAATCTTCTCAAAGTGCCCACCCCTCAACTATTCCCAAGTCATCAAAAAAGAGGGATGGAAAAAAGCAAAAGCCAAAAGGAGCAAGCCTATTATTGAGAAGAGTTTGGCAGAGGCCACCTCAGTGCCCAGGAGTTATCCTAATGGTGCCCCAACCCTTAGTGAATTCGTATTTTAGAATTTCTCACCAGCTTGAGCTTTCAGGTTGTGAAGCTTCCCTTCTCTTTTTCTTCTGCAAGCCTGTTTTCCTTCTCTCCTTTCCTCAGCTCCTGCTCACTGACATCAGAAAAAGGGAAGCATTTCCCTGGTTGCTAAGAAACGACATGATAGAATTAAATGAAATGTTAAAAAAAAAAAGAAAGCACCTCCAAGTAGGAGGGAAACCAATCTAGAAGTCTGTGCCAGGATGTTGCTATCCTGACCTAGAGTTTACATTATTTTTTCACATACCCAGGCATTGGATTTCTCAGCTAAATGATTAACCTGAAACATTTATGAAGGCCGACAAGCGTAAGAAGTCCATCTCCCTGGCTCCTGAGAGTACTTGTATACTGACGGTTGACTAGATTTAGCAAATATAGCTGGGGAAAACACGCACAGCTTCTAATAGTTTCACACTGTAATAATATGCGATGCTCTTTTGCACATGATTGAAAATCATTCTAATCCCAAATCACTTTAAGCTGTTACATCTTTTAATAGACCAGACATGCAGGAGTAATAAGTAATAATAGAAGAACAATGATTTTTCAATAATATGACCTTAGGTCCTAGTACTTTTATTTAATCATAAAAAGCAGTTCTTTTATTCTCTTGTATAATAGAGCACAGCAAATGAAATAGAGAGAGAATTATAGCAGGATAGTAACTTTGTCCCAGGACCATTGTTATCTGGACTCCACTGAAAATGAATATGATGAATAATA